TGCCATGCTGACTGAAGTCTGTGCTTCGCAGCCTTTTTGGCCATTCAACTCCCATAGGTGAACTTGCCATAGAGCTCGCCGAGGATCGATGTGCCCTCATTCAAGATGGTGTAGCCATGCTCCTTGTGCCCTTCGTCACATGGAACGCCTAAGGCTCCAACTTCATCTTTATGGGGCAGCGCGCCCACTTTCACCGAGGGCTTCATGGGCTTGTTCTCCACCTCGAAGTTCTGCCTGTCTTGACCTTTCGGGTCAGCTTCAAAGCCCTTGTTCTTTCTCGGCGCTAGCAGCTGGCCGTCAGCTTTTGCCATCCCTTTGGCCAGGTCCTTCTGGCGTTCGTGGGATTCCCAGAGGTAGCCGTGGAAGGCGTCAGAGTTCCATCTTCCATAGCGCTTTACCACATCCAAGTCCTTCGTCGTCTGGTACATGGCTGTGGCACCCCCGATGCGAAGGCTGTGAGATCCATATCTGGTCGTGGCCTGCCCGTCTGCCACTGCGGCCAGCTGGATCAAGTTCTGTATGTCCCCCCTCTGTAGGGGCTTGCCATCTTCGAGCCTGAACAAGGGCTGGTTTTCTTCAGCTCCTGCAAAACGTTCCGGCTTCATGCTTTGATATTCCGCCAGGGCACCAACCACGCAGAGTTCATCCCCACTGCGGAACTGGTTGCGAACGGTGCCCTGATTGTATTGGTCCGTTTTCGAGCCCTTCAGGTAGATCACCACCTCCTCTGCAACGTGGAAGTTGGTCACCTGCTTGTTGTTGCGTCTTGCCTCGATGTCGCTACCCTTCAGGGTTCTCGTGTTCCCCCAAGATCTTCCGACCGTCACCAGGAACTCCGAGGCCCGGAGGAGGAAGAAGAACCCCACCATAATCGCTGCCCAGATGATGGTCTGATCGCACCTACTCAAGCTATCGCTGTTGCTCAGGTGGCGTTTGATCCATGTAAGCATCCCAGGCAGCACTGGGTACTTTCTTTTCGTCTCGGGCTGCCATCGCTTGAACCCATTCAATGCGGCCCAAATCCGAACCCTGTTCATTGTGGGATCATCATGTCCAGCCACCAGGTGCCCCATCTTGATAGCGAAGAGCCGTTGTTTCACTGTCCCTTCTGTTCTACCCATCACATGCGCCAGGTAGGTCATGAACCGCAGAAGCTCGTCCTCATCGGCTTTTCTGTCCTCCTTGCTCTCGCCGGTGAGGTAGACCCCCTTGTTGCCCATGCGCCTCCAAAGGCACCATTGTTTCCAACCGACCTCATAGCCAGCACGTGTCCCTTCTGAGAGCTTCGACATGACCGCCTCAGCGGCGAGTGCATCCAGCCAAGCTTGGTCTCGACGGAGTTCTCGATTTGCGTCTAGCTTGAGGCGTTCTCGACCTCTCCCAATAGCACTCGGGAGGACTAGCCGGTCAGGTGGTGATGACCTCGCTCTCCTCACTCCTGTTTGTCTCCGACCCCCAACCTTGCAGGCTTCTACAGCACCGACCTTTTGAGCTGCCAGCCACTTCTCATAGCCAGCTCGTGGGTTTTGGTGGTCTCCCTGCCAAGCACGCATCCAAGCCCGCACTTGCTGTCTGTGTTGGCTATCTGGGTCGTGACAAACTCCCACTCTTTGTGTTGCATTGTGGTCCTGTTTGTTCATCTCCTGCCTCCAGCGTTCGACCCAACTCAGGATGCGGTGTGCGCTCTGCTGAGGGAACTTCATGGCCGCGTCCTTCTTGAAGTAGTCGTGGTTTGCTCCCGTTTCACGTGCCGTCCTCAACTCGTTGAGGCCTCCCCCATTGAGCAGCCACTCCTCTTCAGGTGTGATGCGCCGGGCTTGTGCTTCTTTGCCGCGGTGGTCGACCACGATCATGGTCTTCCCTCTCCTGCAGGTCAAAGCGGGCCCTCTTATGTCATAGACGAGCTCCTTGATGGTCTTGTCCTTGTCATCTCCTGGTTCGACATAGTGTCCAGCCGGCCAAGGGAGCATTCTGTCCCCTGATGTAGAGATCTTTCCATTCAGGATCAACTCTGCTTCACCATTCACCCATACTGGCTTCACCGCATTCACTGCAGGTCCAACGTCCGCTGGATACTCGACGGTTCTGCTGCGCTTCTGGGCGCCAAGCGCACCTTCAGCCACACTGGTTTTCCCATCACGTCCTCCTGCTCCAAGGTCCCTCTTGGGGGTGACGGAATCATCACCTTTCCCAAGTCAACGGAGCTAGATCTAATCGGCGCCATCCCACTCTCCTTCTTGGCATGGGTGTGCGTCTCCTCAAAGGTTGCTCCCGTTGTAGTTGTGGCGGGTGCCTCCAAGGCAGGGCTTCTACTGCGGCT